ATTTGAAGAAAAGAGTTCCGTGATGAAGGTTTCGACGCTCTAATAACTTTAAACTATCGTTCAAATGGCATATAACATTAACATACAATCGTTATCAAGTAATTCTATGGACATAACCATAAAGAAAGCTCGAATTAGTCGAAAAACAACTATAACGAATATATATTCGTTATAACATAGAAAAAATGAATATATATTCGTTATAGTTGTTTTTCGACCAAATCCACCTTTAACGATCGTGCATTCATCATATAATACATTGTAAAGATAATAAACTCCTAATAGGTCTAATTTTAGTCATTTTTCAAGTTAAAATGATGAATTTACAAATATTTTACATCATATTTCTATTTTTTTTAAAAAAAACAAAACAAGTGTTGTTATTTGAAGAAAAGAGTTCCGTGATGAACGTTTCGACGCTCTAATAACTTTAAACTATCGTTCAAATGGCATATAACATTAACATACAATCGTTATCAAGTAATTCTATGGAAATAACCATAAAGAAAGCTCGAATTAGTCGAAAAACAACTATAACGAATATATATTCGTTATAACATAGAAATAACGAATATATATTCGTTATAGTTATTTTTCGACCAAATCCACCTTTAACGATCGTGCATTCGTCATATAATACATTGTAAAGATAATAAACTCCTAATAGGTCTAATTTTAGTCATTTTTCAAGTTAAAATGATGAATTTACAAATATTTTACATCATATTTCTATTTTTTTTTTTAAATAAACAAAACAAGTGTTGTTATTTGAAGAAAAGAGTTCCGTGATGAAGGTTTCGACGCTCTAATAACTTTAAACTATCGTTCAAATGACATATAACATTAACATACAATCGTTATCAAGTAATTCTATGGAAATAACCATAAAGAAAGCTCGAATTAGTCGAAAAACAACTATAACGAATATATATTCGTTATAACATAGAAATAACGAATATATATTCGTTATAGTTGTTTTTCGACCAAATCCACCTTTAACGATCGTGCATTTGTCATATGATACATTATAAAGATAATAAACTCCTAGTAGGTCTTATTTTAGTCATTTTTCCAGTTAAAATGATGAATTTACAAATATTTTACATCATATTTTCATTTTTTTTTAAAAAAACAAAACAAGTGTTGTTATTTGAAGAAAAGAGTTCCGTGATGAAGGTTTCGACGCTCTAATAACTTTAAATTATCGTTCAAACGGCATATAACATTAACATACAATCGTTATCAAGTAATTCTATGGAAATAACCATAAAGAAAGCTCGAATTAGTCGAAAAACAACTATAACGAATATATATTCGTTATAACATAGAAATTACGAATATATATTCATTATTGTTGTTTTTCGACCAATTTACTATATGACCAACATACAATCGTTAACACGTATATGACCAAGGAAACAAGTATCATTATTTCACAAAATGAGTTTCGTCACGACTACAAAAGAAAAAAATAAAAAAAAAATAACAGGCCCGCGACATCCTGCTTGTCGCGGCCGCGACAGGCCGTCGCGCGGGTCTGTAGGTCCACATTTGGTGTCGCGACCGCGACAAGTATCGCGCTAGCGACAGTCTCATATGACGCGCCCGCGTTGAGTGTCGCGGCCGCGACGTCCTGGACAACTTTCTGTCCAGAAAATCACATCAGCGTGTCGCGCGCGTGACACCCGTCGCGCCCGCGACATCCTGGGAAGATCTCTGCCGATCGTTAGTTGTTTTTCGACCAAAATCCATCTCAAGCGAGACCGTAATTCGTCATATAATACATTATAAATATATTAAGCTCGTTATCGGTCTAATTATAGTCAATTTTCATGTAAAGTAATGATTTTATAAACATTTTACATGATCTAACAATTTTTTTTTTAAAAAAAAAAATATATAAAGAACAAGTATTGTATGAAAAAAAGATAGTTTCGTTGCGAGAGTGTCGACGCTCCAACACCTTCAATGACACATAACATGAATATTTGATCATGTCACGTCATTCGATCAAAATAACCATAAAGAATGTACGTTTGTTAACGAATGTACATTTGAACGAATGTACTATTGTTATAGTATCGGAATTTTCAATCATGAAGAATCGTTATACATTCGTTATTTTACGATAAAAATGACTAAAATTATAGTTGTAACGAGAGTAATATGTTCACAATGTATTATATGATGAAGGAACAATCGTTATAGTTGTATTTCATTGAATAATAACCATAACGAATGTACATTCGTTTTGAAACTGCATAACGACTGTACATTCGTTATGTAAACATCATTTAAAAAATGGGAAAAAAATGTAAATGACACAAGAAACATAATAAATATGAAACCAACATGCTCATCAATAATAAAATATGAACAAATAATAATAATAATAATACATGATTAATACACCTATTTATATTAGAAAGTTAGGCTATACTGTGATGGCTATGCTCATTTCAGAAAGTTAGACCACCAGTTATGCATGATTAATACACCTATTGATAGATATATCCATTAATAATTATTATAATAATCAATGGGCATTTGATCCTTTAATATTTTTTTTTTTGTTTTTTACCTTATCTTCAATTTGCTCACAATTACTGAACAAAGTATGCAGAGAGCGAGAGCATAGCAGATGGAGAGAGCGAGCAGAGTTCGGTTTCTTTTTT